CAAACCCACGAAACTATACCCGTCTGGTCCCATCTGATAGCTTCAGCAAAATGCCCCACCGGCACATGTGCCGCCAAGTGCTGCAGGCGGAGCATACGGTTTCAGCAGTACTCACTAAAGTCTGATTGGGGGGTGACCCCACATGGAAACGTGAAGGGGTATCACCATGTCTGGGCGACCTGGATGAAATTCGGCTGTGCCTGAGCTCTCTTGGAGGCTGCATGAGTCGTGCCAGCCCTGCCCATCCTTTCAGTACGCGCACTGATGGACATGTCGTTGTGGCGAAATGCGGGATGGGGCAGGCCGCACGAGGTTGTGTTGGTTGTTCATGTTGTTTGCGGTGGTTTGTCTGGCGCCGATCTGTCAGCATTTATTTAATGAATTCCACTGGTCTACCATGATCCGCTGTACATGTTGCCAGAGCGTTCAGACTATGTTGTGAGAGCATCAACAGTGGGCTCTGCCGACTTCTCGCCTGTGGGGCGCCAGTGGGAGTGAGGTGGGGACTGCGTTGTGTAAGCCGTCTCAATCAAACCTCTTTTCTCATTGTCCTGCTGTGGGTGGGCATGCTAGTGATGAACACCCAGCTACAGATTGACCCTAGCCACCGCAAGCCGGGCGTGTGCTCGTCGAAGGTCCGGTTTTGGTCGTAGCAAGATGTAGCAAGCATCCGAGCATTCCAGGCGGACATGAGCAACTATGCCATACGCTCCGGGCTTGGCGCGACCAGTCGAACCAGTCGAGACGCTTTGCTTATGCGGAGCACAGAACTGTATCAACGTGCCATGAGCAGTACACAGGCCAAAGTGGTGAGTCACTGCAAGGTCTTGGCATCCTGGAAATGCTGTCTCATCCTCGATTATGGTAAGTCATGACAGAAGCGGGCTTGTGCGCCCGCCATGTCATCGTCAAGTCGCTGTCAAATATCGAAATGCTAGCGTACATGACAAGGCATGTCAAAGTCCTCAATAAGTATGAATGCGGGCTGAGGCGCTATGTTGTGAACTGGCTGTTGAGTGGTTACGTCTTCCTGGCATCTCCGTCTTCGCTCCGTGGGACTGTGCATGCCTTTGCTGACGAGATGCGGGATGCACGCACAACTAGTTTAGGATGTTTGAGATGAGAGCCGCGGCACTGCCTGACGCCCGCTCAGAAGCAGCAGCCCCTTCCGACCGGGTTTGTGCTGCTCTTGCTGCCCATAGTTTGCACCTTACTGTTGCTGAGTATCAGTGCCCATGGCTCAGAAGGTATCTAGCTTGTGGGAGAGCTAAGGCTTCGTTGATGCTCTTGCTGACCCTCATCCCAGGAGTTCCCCGGCAGGATTTTCGCTGAAACTGTTTCTATTACCACTGTGCAGGGGTTGACCGAATTTTGTTGTCCACTGATTGATTGCATGGCCTTGGCAACGGCTTCGGCCAACGTCTCGTCGCAACAAACAGAAGGTGGAAGCAATACTCTGGAGTCGGTTTGCAAATAGGATTGCCGGTGGACCTGCCCCGCCCTGCTCCAAAGCCAAGCGAACCCTCAAGGCCTTGACCGCTGCCTTCCAGTCAGGTCCTTCTGCTTTTTGCTCCGGGGTGCCAATCTTAGCTGTGTGGTTGAGCAAGTTCCAGCACAGATGACCCGACTGAAAATTCCGCTCCTGAACTCCAGCTTCAACGGACAAGTTATAGTATTTGACAGTATTCATTCTCGGTCTTGCGATATACCATTCCATAACTTTGCAGGTCGTGAGCAGTGCGCGCAGCTGTGTTAATAATCAAGTGTTTTGCGCATCTGTTTGCAACCGTGAACCAGTGAGTGCAGCCGGTACATGTAAGTGTCAATCCTTCTGCGTGATCACGGACCGCTTTCTCCTTGAAAAATACATGACAGACTGATCCAAGACCATGCCTCGGACGTGGTCCCAAGTCCCAAAACAGGCTTCGGAACAGCAGCAGCCGACACCGTAGCTGAAGAGGTCTGAATCAAGTGGAGTCGAACAGTACAGTATCTGAGAACAAAAATTTCTAAGGGAACCGCATCAAGGCCATACCGTGAGGATCGATTTCCGGGCTGGAACCTTGAGCTGCTCTTCAAAAGGAGGCCAAGCTGGAACCCGTGCAAGCTCTTGACTTTGCCTTTGCGCCATTTGGGCAACGTTTGCAGGTCTTTCGTGCTTCTCTTCTTGAGCGAATGTCTGTGCCCTGGAGAGTCTTGAAACTTCACATCAGCAGCACATGTGCAGCTGATCTGCTCTGATCCAGGTGCAGGAAACTTAGCACTGTTTCCCGGAACTTGTTGCGTCCTGAGCTTGAGGCAGCCGCTCTTGAATGCGATAGCAAACATTCGACGGAGAGTCAGCTCCTTTTCATGCAAGTCACAACCAGCGGCACTGATGGTACGACCCGAAGCCTGTCACTATGCGCGCTGGAACCCCTTCCTTACAACCTGGCGTGTTCCATGATTCATGTAGACATACGCAGACCGTCAGCAATGAGGTTACATCAGTTGGTGGCTCTCGAATGGCTGGAGTAGCATCGAGCTCTCAGGTACCAAGCTCGAGCTTGCAGTCACGTCAACTTGACTTGCATGCTTGGAATCTAAGGCCTGAGTGTTCTTTTTGCCTTCCTCCTGGCCTTCGGGACTTTCCTGTGGGCTGAAGCCTCGGAACCTTCCATATGTACCGGCAGCATAGGTTATGGACGGTTATTGATTGGCACGATTGAAGTTTCAGGCAGCAGCTTTGAGCCGCGCTTCCGTCCACCTGCCTCGCATTATAAGTGATTAGGTCAGGTTTGCTCGGGGCGCTCAGGACTCCTAGGACATCCTAGGACCTGTGAGTTTGCTATTGAGCTGCGATGCTGCGAGTCTGAGTCCAGCATGTCGGGAGCATGTTTAGCATGGCAGATCCACGGCTTGTCCTTCCTCGTTGGAGTGGCGGTCATGTTGGCGAGCACCTTATATTGTCCTGTCCGCCCATTCAAGAACACAGCGTTTCAATTCGCTGGCTTGAGATATCGGATGGTTGCCAGCTTTCACTTCCAACACCGCTTGATCACTTGGCTTCACTTTTGCGTTGCACTTTTGGCCATGCCAGAGGCCCCGGCGACGATGCTGAGAAGCGTAGTCCAAGACGAAGTTGCCACGATCACCAGCCTGGGGCGCTCAGAGGCGCAATGCAGAGAGCACGCAGGGGCAAACAAAGTAGGGCGAATTCTTCTTTAAAGCAGACATGATCGGCAAAGAAGCAGAAGCATTGTTGCCTACCACTTTGTCGGTGCTGGTTTCAAGTTGTTCAACTTCTACACGCTCTCGAACCGAAAGATTGGCAGACGAACATATGCTAGCCCTTTGCACTCAAAAATTCAAGCTCCAACCGGCTTCACATGTTGGGGCGGCTGACAGATCTGGATCAGAGAAGATATCAGCAGGCCGCACTGATCATCAGTGTCTTCAGCTTGCTGGGGCCCAAGATTGCTTTCCAGAAAGGAGCTGTTACGGCGAAAGCTTCTGCTCGGCTTGATATCAGGTTCTTTGAGGGTGTCTCGGGCCTGGCATGATCGTGTTGTGTCCTGCTTTTCACAAAGAATCCTGTTGACGGACACGCATATGCACGCATCACATGAAGCATCAGGTTCGATCTTCAGCTTTGTGGACAGCGAAAATCCGCATCTTGAACTCCAGATGGCGTCTTCTAAGTAGAGACCCCAGAAAGGAAACCCGAAGTTTGAGCACTCGACTCGTGCGAGTGAGGCTACGGCACGATCCTTCAAAGCTGCAGCCACTTCTGTGCCTTCCTGTCGCCTTTTGTCTGGGGCCTTCCGAATGCCAGCTTGGAAAACTTACCACGATCGCGCAAAGCATCAGCGCCGAGGTGTGTGAGTTTCTGGCCAGGCGGCAGAAATCTCGGCACAGTGCGGTTTGAATTTTGGAGCCATGCAACGATATGCCACCGATGCCTGCCGTGCTCAGTAAGGCATGGCGTGACGTTCATCACACGCAATCAGAAGGACGGGGTGCGGCGGATGATGAAGTTTGGTTTGGACAGCTAGACTTGGAGATCACCTTAGAGCCTTAGAGGGGAAGGCTGTCATAGGCTGGCAGTTTCAAGGCAGCTGGCTTTCCAGCTTCGTCAGAGCTCTAAGCTTTGCAAAGTCCTGGCGGCCGCTTCATCGGCAGCATGTCTCGGCTTGACCCGACCTGTAAGCGGAGTCCGAGCGGAGCATGTTGCCATCTCGGTCTGCCTCGGCAGAGCGTGAGGGGGAAAGAAAGACTGGCCGGGGGACCACAGCAGAGTCATAGCGCCTTTGTGTGGTGGGTGTGGTGCATGTGCACAGAACGTTTCATGTGTATTTTCATGCAGCATCATGTGCATAGCCATGTGGATGGCCAATGTTCTGGATGGCACAGACTGATGTGCGAAGGAGCTGGCAGATGCAATGATCCTGTCAGCAAGATACTCGTCGGACTGTCATCAGCAAGGTGACGAATACATTTTAGAATCCTCTCGCTGCTTTCAGGGTGTCCCTTTGGGCTTGGTGCAGTTCTTTCTGCAGGCAGGCTGGTGCAGCCAGATGGCAGGACTCATGTGTCTGATTAGACTTGCGAGGTCGTCATCGCCCCATTCATCAAGAAGGAATGCCGTACTGATGAGCCGGTTCGAATCCGGTTGTGCCCGGAGATTTAGCCATGTGCAGCCAGGACATGGGCATTTCTGTAGGAGCCGAACGGAGCTCGAGGACACTAACTCAGCCCTGAGCTATCCATGTGGCGAGTCGGTAGCAAGCAAGTCCTGACTTGGCCAACCATCCTTACTTGTGCAGTGTTGCATCCGCATGTGTTACAAGTAGCGACTTTGACTTTCGACAGGAGCGTGCTGCGAAAATTTCGGAAGGGCACCTCAGTGTTTGCATTTACTACCTTCGCAGGTGCAGGCCGTGGCAGTGTTCAAGCAATACAGCCTGTGTCACATCCGAACTTGAGATGCTTCTGTGATTTTCTATTGCGGCCCTTTGCAGGCCTGGCCCTTGGTGTGCTCATGGGCACCTTCCTGAAGATACAGATGCCCGTCAGCAGAATTGCTAGATGCACGCCACTGAGTTGCTGCAGAGCCAGCAGTCAGCGTTTTGCCTTTGCGCTTTGCCGCTTCGCATTAGTCGAGGCGAGATTCCTCACCCGACAAATTGCACCGTCTGCCTGGCCTATTCTCTCACCGAGGGCGTCCGTCGCAAAGTTGTGGCCACGCTTGCGCAAGGTGCTGGTGGATGAGATTGATGCGCAGGAGGCTGTTTTCGGCCAGCATTATGGCCTCAATCGCTTCCGCCAGAACACCACAGGACTGGGGCTCCGCAGGGGTATTGCACGAATCGTTACGTTGTGGGTGCATGCACAGTCTCGACATACCCAACGAAGGCTTTGTCAACTACTCAAACCTTCTCCGACCCTCCATACTGGATGTTGCAAACATGCTGGCTCCGATTGCCTAACAGCCTCGCTGTGGAAGACCAGATTGAATATGGCTCACTGCTCCATAGATTGTTCGAGCTGGTCATGAAAGTAATTTATGCGATCGGAATCGATTGAGATACAGGGTTTCTCGGGTTGGAACAGACAAAGGCATGAACATCCAAGATCTTGTCTGACCGTGGTCAACGCACAACTTCCGGCTCTGCTAAAAGAAGCGTTCGATGCTGCGTCGATGTTCTGCAGGCATGTACAATTGCTTGAGCCGCATGAGAGCTGTTGGAGGCCGGGAGAGAAGCTGCGGCAGCTACAGTCTGTCCGTTTTCCTGGCACAGACACTTGTGCCTGCAACGAGGAGACACGTTCAGGTTCTGGGAGTTCGGGAGATGTGAGGCCTTGCTCAGTGGCAGCTTCATGTTGGTGTAGGTCCACAGAAGCTCGCTGCACACTCCCATGATCCTGCGTACTGTCGAAGGTGGTGAGAGCGTCTATGGCCCATCAATTGTTCATTGATGACACTTTCATGCCGAGGTTGCACTCCCCACTCCAAGCAAAACTGCGTTGTTCAAACGAGCCTTCTGAGTCGGTTTCGAGTGGGTTGCAAGGCAGTGGCAACATGTGTAGTGTAGTTACACACGCTTTCACGTTGCAGGTGCAACATTGTGGAAGTACCTCGGCCCTGCAGGGCGACAAGCCGCCCACCACAGGCCTGTTCTTTGCTGCGGGTGTGACGTGTTCATCTGTTGTGCGAAGGCTAAGATTTTCCATCAGGTCAAGGACCCCTCGATGCCTTTGACCTTTGGTCCCACTACTGTGATATGTGCGGCCCTTTTCTTCCAGATGCTGCTCGCATTTCGTCCTCCAGACCCTGAGGCCTTGTGTCTCCCATGTCAGTCGTGATGTGCACGTGGCTGCTTGTTGCAGCCCGAAGGTCTTCTCGACAGATACACAAATTGCAGGAAACGAGCATTGTAATGAATCCTACGGTAACTTTGGCTTGACAAAATGCCATCATGAGCATCAAGGGCGAGCATCAACATGATGCAGCCGCAAGGAGTCCAGCCGCATGGTCTGGCTTCACAATGGCACGTGTTGTGACATCCGGATCCTCAGTTGGGATCTGCAGGACATGGTTGTCTGCTCCATCCTATGATTTCCCAAACTCATTCGTTTCAGCCGTCGTCAGCTGGGGACTCCACCTGGCGCAGCCAGATCAGGTTCATAGCCCCGTCATGTTCGTGGGCTATTGGTCGCGGAGCAATGTTGTCATCTGTGATTCACTGCTTCTTTTTGCCGAAGCTTCGCTGCCCCTTAAGCAAGGCTCTGTAGTGGCCCTCAGTGGGGCTTTCCCCGTCGTGCAACTGGACGGCGACAGCCTGGTACAAGGCATTGCCACATCGTAGGGATGTGGTGTCCAAGAACAATGGCACTCGAATGCAATGTTGATAGCCCTGCAGAGGCCTTGTGTCTTTGGCCAGCTGCCCCCTTTCCCCCTCAAACCTCTGCAGCTGCACACACAGAATCGGCAGGGCTGTGGTGAGGGCATGCAGTGTGTCCCCTGGGTGGAGAGACATCGTGATCGGCGAGCAGAGCAATCCAGTATCCCATACACGAGCACCTTCCCTCTGTTGGAGCCTGGCCTCCCATCTACCCTCAGTGCCTGGGATGGCAAGCCTGGGCAAGAGATACGTGGTGAACTCTGCAACATCATGCTGATCGTGCACATTTCTCCAAGCCTCCAAAAAAGCCAGCCATGGTAGCCTGGCCAAAAGTTTGAAAGGGCCGCCTTCCGCCTGCTGCGGTTTCGAAGCAAGTGCTGCAGAGCCTGGGCCAACGGTGGGTCGGCAGGTCCATGTAGTTTGACCTGTAGCAGAAGCCACGTAATGGCCAGTGCGGTGGAGTTTAAGTAGCACGGGTTGGATGCATTGGCAAGTGAAAGCTGGAGGACACGTTTAAGGCTAGGGACAGCACTCAAGCGAGGTTCCAGAGCTCGTTCACCAAGTTGTCGTACTGCGGCCTGTCCCGGCGCAGTCGGCAGCCCAGAGTGCGCCAGGCCGCTTGCCCGATCCAGGACTGAAAGGCACTCCAGATGGGGGACCCCTCCGGTCGGAGAGAGATGCAGATCTGGAACTGAACCCAGTCGGTGGTATCCTCCGGTGTCAACTTCCGGAGGCTCCTGACTCGCAGCAGATTTTCCTCCGTGATGGCTTTCCGCACCTGAACTAGCTGGGTCAAAAGGTCCGCGGTAGGGACCGGGCGAAGGCCTGGATCGACCTCGAGGTGCTGCTGGGTCGGATTCCATCTCAGAACTTTCCGACTTTGGTCCGCATCCAGCCATCCCAGGGACTTGGCATGGTCCTGCGCTTCCGGTTTCTGGGCTATGTCGGTAAGCCGGTAAGCCGGTCGTCGTGGAGGGAGATCAGGAGTTGCTTGCACATGGCCAGCTTGAGAGAGAACTTCAACTGGTCGGACTGCTCACTACTGCTCCTCCTTCAGCGTTCGCCATTTCTCCGCGGCCTGATAGATCACCGGGACCATTCCCTGGTCGCCATTCCTCACGAAAAGTTACATCATCATGTCCTGCCGAAGGGAGGCCAGCAGTTGCTCCTGCCTGAGACCCACTTGTGTCAACTTCTGAAGCTTGGTCTCCAGCCAGTCCTGTTGGCCCCTCAGCTTCGTAGTACTCCGTCACATCCGCCTTGGGCCAGGGTGCCTGATCCTCTTTTTGGCACCAGTGGCGTAGGCCCACATGCTCGCCGACGGGTAGACTCCGCGAGGAGGCGGCGAGTTGGGAGTCATCATGGGTAGCAGTAGCAGTAGCAGTAGCAGTACTAGTACGAGTACTAGTACTAGTGCTAGTGCTAGTGCTAGTACTAGTACTAGTACTAGTACTAGTACTAGTACTAGTAATTGTTCGAGTTCTAGTACTAGTACAACTACTACTACTACTACTACTA